TTAGTAATTATATTTATTTTTTTTTAGAAGTGTTATTATAGTACAGACTGTTTGTATTGCTGTATATTTCTTCTTATTAAGCTTGTTGCCTTAGCTGTTCAAGAGAAGAATTTGTTACAACAGAGTGGAACAAGTCCTCTAAACTATTAAAAAAATCATCCTATTCCAAAATAAATTTTAATTAAGCAACATATTTTATGACAGGATAAGCAAAAATAACATATTTATGCTTAAATTTAGGTATATGATTGAGTATATTGAGCTAGTTAAGTGCAAATATTTTGTATAGAGCGCATACAAGGGTACTCTGAATGTAATGCCTCCTATTTTGTTGGCCAGTTATGTCAGATGCAGATGTTGGTGGAATGGCAGTAGAGGTGGAACCTTCCTGCCAGTATTCCATTACATTTTGTTCCCATGTGACAGATGGCAGCAGAGGGGCAATCTGACAAAGTGGGATCTGACATGAAAGTGCATATGAGGCAAAGGAGTGGAACTGAATTCCTCCATGCAGAAAGAAAATGGCACCTATTGATATTCATTGGTGCTTGCTGAACTTTTATGGAGACCAAAGAGTGGATGTGAGTACAGTGAGATCACGGGTGGTGCATTTCAGCAGTGCTGTCTGCAGTGTGAAAAACAAGACAAATTCTAGACAGCCATGCACTGCTGTTGCACAATGAAATGAAGAGTGTCTATCAGCTCATCAGTGTGAATTAGGTAATACTGAAAATATATGTTTTGTACGTTCAGAAAAAGTTGTGTTCAATAGCTGAGAACTTGGTCTGTCAAATAGAGTTTCCATGCTGCTTGTATATGTTCTATTTTCCTTAGAAGTAAATAGGAGGCATTACTTTTGGAGCAACGTACATAAATTCATACTGCATTCACTCACAGTCACACTTCTTTTGATAAAGTTTTGTATGTTCCAAGAGAAGTTGGAAAGTAATGAAGTAAGGGAAGTACAATAATTTTTCCAGGCAGCATTATGTGACAAGAAAGTGATATTCTGGGCATAGTGGAACCAAAATGGAGTGTTTTTCAGGAAACAGAGACAACTGCAGACTGAGAGCAAACATAATGTCTGATGCATTTTCTTCCCCAAAAAATGCTGATTGTTTTATTTTTCACTTGAACCAACACCTCTAGCATTTAATTTTTACTTCCTATCACATCATCATAATCATTCAGAATGGAAGTACCCTCAGCTCCCTCAGCTTGTGAAGAAGTTCTACTTTAAAATATTTTAATTCTTCTCCTAATTAACTCAAAAGCCCAGCTAGTGTCATCATTTCTTCATTACATTATGAGATTTCTTTTGTGGTTAAAAGCAGAAGAGAGTTCTACCTGTACAATTTTCCACTTTGTTTTCCAGATTAGCTTCTTATTTAGAAATCACTAAATATTTTAACTCACCTGAATAATAACATAGTATTTAAGAAAGCGTTTCAAATTTCTGGAATGCTCTTCAGTTCCTGGAAATCCATAGTATATATACTGTTACAGATATTCAGGAAGAATAAAAAGGGAACAGTACACTTAAAGGACACATGTACATTTTAATGTGCTTCTGTTCTGATACTGGCTCAACGTGGTTTTTCCATTCAGACTTTGTCCCTTCCCAATAATTTTCCGTTATGTTTCTAGCTTTTACAAGTTAAACCTTGATGAGTCTTCTGCGTAAAGAGTGTATGATTTGTTATTTTTGTTACTTCTCATTGAACTCCCTTAAAAGACAAAAAGCATAGAATTTTGTCTCATGCACTTAATGAGCACCTGTTGTCATTTAAATATTCTTTGCCAAATAGAGATACATAGCACCTGGTAGATCTGATGACATCTCCATATCTGTTCTAGCTATATACAGTCCACTGGAAGGATTCTGACATCTTTTTTTGTTACCTAGACTCAGCTGCATTAGTTATGCAGAATCATTATTGTTATACACATGCAAATACTTTAATTCTTCATTTGCTCCCTGAACCAGTACTCTCCACTTCCACTGAAATCCTGGAATTCTTTACATTTCATGAATGTTCCTATTCTCATTTCATAGAATATATTTGTTATTGCTTTGCTAAAAGCAGATTTGGGTCATCACTTGAAAATGAAGTTGCTATAAAATGGCCATGTTGACAGATGGCATAAATGGCATAGCTAATCAAATCTGCTGCAATGTTTTTAATTGCAACAGGGAATTATCGACATGCTACTAAATGAAGGTCTTAAAAATGCATTCAATAGAGCAAGTGGTGGATTGAAATGAGTTTTCAGAGTTCTACCCCAGTGACACAGCAATGATGGTAGCCACTACATCTGAAGTCTTACTGACATATGCCTCAAAAAAAGTTGACAAAGTTTACTTGGAACCAAGTGCATCTAGCTCCTGTTTGGACTCATTACTGTATCAATAGAAAATGTTTAATAAACAGTGTGCAGGATTTGATGTATTTTTCTCTGAGGTAGATTCATTTGAAAAATATCTGATTTACATGTTAGAATGAGGCATTCTAAAAAATCAATTCCTGTAATGCTATTTGCCGCAGTATTTCAACCATTTGGTAGAAGAAATTCAGAACTTTATATGATTGCATTTGTGATAAGTTTTTTTTCATGTAATCTTTGGAACTTTAGTTTAACACCATTTAGATACAAGATTAGGTCTAAGATAAAGGTTCATTAATCCCTACTAGATGTAAGTACTGTTGGGTCTGAGCATGTGTATGTATTTGCCATTGTTGTAGGAATTTATGAAGTAGTTCAATATTGTATCTAAACATTGGACTTCATTTTCAGATGTTCAGAACAGCCATAAACCCATTAGATTTTAGATAGAGTGGTATGAATGAAATACAATGGGTTTATTAGTGTTCAGTGCATCTGCAAATTATACGATTTCTCCTTCAAGACAGAAGTTACTAATTAAAACTTTCAAACACTATGCTCTACTTGTACATGGACTGTCACATAATTTCTTTATGCTTAGCAAGGTTCTCCTTTTTCTCTCAAACATTCATGGAGGCAGAAGACCCCAAAGATGGGGAGAGAGCTCCCAGCAAAGGACTCATTTACTCACTAGTCACAGAATCACAGAACTGTAGGGCTTGAAAGTGACCTTTGGAGATCATTTAGTCCAACTCTCTGCTTAAAGCAGTTCCCTACAGTAAATAGAACAGGAAAGCATCCAGGTGAGTTTTGAATATCTACAGAGAAGGAGAATTCACAGCCTCTCTGGGCAGCCTGTTCCAGTGCTCTGTCACCCTCAGAGAAAATAAGTTTTTTCTCATATCCAAATGGAAATTCCTGTGTTCTAGTTTGTGCCTGTTGCCCCTTGTTCTTTTACTGGGCAGCAGTGACGAGCCTGCCTGGCCTCCTCCTCTTCACAGCAGCTGTTCAGACATTTGTAACCTTTGATACAATTTCCTCTCAGTCTTGTCTTCTCCAGGCTGAGCAATCCCAGGTCTCAGACTTTCCTCATAAGGGAGATGCTCCAGACCCCTTATTGTCCTTGTAGCCCTCCACTGGAATCTGCATTAGTTCTTTGTCTTTCTTGAACTGGGGAGCCCAGAACTGGACACAGCAAGGAAAAGGAAAAAGCTCTTCATGTCAGTATTTCTGTACTTTAGTAAGGAAATCTCTATACTACTCTGTGATACTTTTCTGTTTGAGGAGTTTGTTTTCTTTACTGCAACAGGCTTTTGGAGTAGTTAGTTGCTGTGAAGTGAGTAATAAATGACATCTGTTAGGGATGGATGTGCTTCTGTATTACCATTACTAAAGGTGGAACAATAATCAATGCAAATGTATCTAATGAGAAAAAAATGGTCTTCTTAATAATATTTTGTCAAAGATGTAGATTTTGCTCGGAATAATTATACAGAGAATTTTGTAATACCAAGGGATTTGTTACAATTATTTATATCCCCTTTATTTCTATAGAAACACTTCCAGTTCCCCATTTTTCCAAAGTAGACCACATTTCCTGTTTCTGTCTGATGTGTATTAGCATTTGGCATATCTTGGCACGTTATTGAGAATGAAAAATTACAAAAATACAAGTAGCTGTAATAGTTGCCTTGTTTGCCAGCTTTGTCTCATTAAAAAACAAGTGAGAAGGTTATTTACTGTCCAACCAGGTAAGTTATGGCTGTGGGTGCCAAATGACATCATCTGGATATGCAAAAAAGTTTAAGAACCCTAACTGGGGAGAATCACTTTCAAAGCAAGGCATTATGGTTCAGTTCTCTAGCAAACTAAGTTACTGTATAAAAGCTTGCAAAATGTTGTTTGCCACTGGAATCATTATATTAAAACTTTACAAGTTGCCTTGAAATTTCTCTGTCACATATTGCAAGTAAGAACGAACATTGAAAACAGTTTATCAACTTCACCTGATAGGATAAGAAATATGCATGTGTCCAAATTTTCTACTGCTAGTGAGGAGATGGAAACAGCTATATAGTGTTCTCAAATTGTCTTGAACACTGTTCAGTGGAGCTGTTATCTAAAGCCATGAACACCGATCTCATGCTAACGTGTGTATCTCAGTGTCTTATTCTTGCCTGATAAAAGAAGTGACTGGTTCATTACATCCTTTGTAGGGCTGCATTTTCCTGGCTAAGGAATCTGGACAAAAATAATTAACCCACTTTACATCCATATGGCTGACATCAGACTTAAAGATCTTATGGCTCAGTGCAGCCATAAGTGTAATTATCCTGTGTAAGGGACATATTCTTATTTTAAAAATATAAATTAAAAAAAAATCTATAATAATAAATCTCTCACTGAAATGCCATTAACTGAAATGATTAACTCATACTGCAAGCAACAGCCTCTTGAATAAAAGTAACACCACAGAAGTCATATGGATTTTAAAATAAATCACATCATTTATTTATTCTTTCCATCATTCTCTTCTCTTCCTCTCCTGTCCTTTTGTGTTTTTGTTTTCCTCCTATTTCCATCTGGACAACTTATATCTATTTCATTATTTAAAGGTGCTCCAGCGGATTTGACCGTCACCGGCAAGACTGGGTAGACAGTGGCTGCCCTGAAGAGGTGTGTGAGTAGTTCTCAGCCTATCAGAGGTCTCTCATATGTTTATGATGCTTTTGATTATCACATTAGAAAGAAGGGTTTCAAGGCCAAAGACATGCTGCATATATTTTTATCAAGTGGACGTAAAGTAAAAACACTGTAAATTAAAAAGTACCAGAAACTGTACATTTTAATTTCTTTTCATGAAGTAGGAATAAAAGAAAAAGATGCCTGATGCTGGTAGTGGTGAACTACTCTAAAAGAGGCACACAGGGTGCTCCTGCACCAGAGCAGTTCATTTTCAAGATTTTCAAGATTATTTATCTTATTGCTGCTTCTTTCCCAGTGTTGTGTTTTTTTTTTTTTTCCCAACAGTCAAAAGATAAGGTTTGTGATAAGGATATAGACACAACTGAAGCACCGCTGTACTCTACAACCACTCTTAAACTGACCACCACAAAGTTCCGAGTTTTGACAACCACCAGAGGATTCACCAGCTCCCAACTGCCAACCAGCCTACCCACAGAAGGTGAATTATGCAGACTGACTTAGCCTATAGGGCAAATGTGTCATTTAAAAGTCTAAAAAAATATTTCCTCTGTGTTCATGTTGTCCTTTTCTTTTGGGGGTAGTGGAAAGAGTGGCAAATTAGTCAGAGTATTATTTGATATTACCTTATTGCATCTTCCTCTTGCGAAGTTATGTCTTAGACATAAGGGAGAACTTTTTCTCTCAGAGAGTGGTCAGACGCTGGAATGTCCTGCCCAGAGAGGTGGTGGAGTTCCCATCCCTGGCAGTGTTCAAGAGGCGTCTGGATGACGTGCTGTGTGATGTGGTTTAGTGCTAGTGGTGGCAATGGTGATGAGGAGACGGTTGGACTAGATCTTGTAGGTCATTTCCAACCTTGTGATTCTATGATTCTATGAAGGTAAGCTTGAAGACAGAGGGAGGGAGTGCTGAGAGAGCAGACTTCTGTAGAATTGTGGTTACATATTTGTAACCACATTTTCCTTTAACTAGCAGGCCACATTCCCAAACAGACTGAAATGGATAAGATCCTGATAAAATTACTGAAGAAACATCCAGAACAGAGTTAATGAATTTTGGATTCCTTTGTGTATTGCATTTAGGTGAAAACTGGAGGTAACCCAAATAAACAACCTTATTGAATATTTCTGGTTTAGTTTTTTCAGTTAGTTGACAGTGTCATTTTCATGTAGTGCTCACTGTTTCTATTGCATCTGAGCAGAATTAGTTGGGTAAGTGATGGTGTGTCTGTTTTCATCCTTGTTTCACTGCTGCTTAAATCTTCCCTTTCTGTGGAAGAGATATCCTGCTCTCCTGCTTCTGAGGGAAATTCAGCTGAACAGAAAATTTACCCGGATTACTCAAATGGCACCTATAAAATAGAATAAAGCAGGTGGGAGATGTCTATTGGAATTGTTTGCTAGCATATAGGAAAATACCAGATGTGCTCAGAATTTGTAAGTGGCACATGACAAGACTGTAGACTGTTTTAAGCTGTAGACATTATAAGTTGTGAATCTACTGGTAAGAAGATTTGGTTTTGTTCACAGTTTAGAAACTGAAAATGCAAGATTTGGGCTGCAGAATTTTTGCCATATGCACACCTGCTAATGTTTTCTTATGAGAAAAGGAATATGTAAATAAATAGGATTTAAAATTGATAGGCTTTTCTGTAACTCTTAGAAGGAATCGTTTTATTGTCTTGTAGTGGTTCATGCAGACATTACTATGATAGAATGCTCAAAAATTGATATGTAACGAAAAGGAATTATTTTTAAGTGCTATGGGGTGGACTCTAGTGCCTTATTTACAGTATTTTGAATCCTCCTTTACACTGTATCAGACTCATACGAAGTAAAGCCTTGCTCAGTATAACATCATGGTATCTCACATTGAATTAAGTACCAAAACGTTTTTTAGTTGTGGGAGAGGTACAGCATCAGAAAGAAAATAATTCCTAAGACAACTCATGATCTAGAAAAATGCATTTTCTTACAGCTAACTTTGATTTCCTTTATAGATGATACCAAGATTGCGCTGCACCTAAAAGATAATGGAGGTAAGAGATGATTTTTTGTATATGTAAATAGACTCAGTGTCTTGTCAAATTACACCCCGCTGAACTTCATTAATCAAAATTGGGCTGTAGAAAAGGTTCTACGAGATTGCCAAGGGACTTCAGCCTTTCACAGTTCTACAGAAGAGCAGAAGGACAAATAAGTTTAGCAACTGCTTAGTAAATTAAATATTTACAGTTTCTTTGTAAGACTTTAAGAAAACAACAGGCTTAATTAGCTTCAGAAAAAAAAGCGTACTAAAGACAAAGTTTAACTGAATTAATACAGTTATTATCTGTAGTTCTGTATTATAATAATACATAATTGTTTAGCTGTCTTAAGAGAGGACATGATGCTAGTTCTAAACAATACATCACTGTGAGTGACTGTGGGTCCCTCTGAAAGTAATACTTCCTATTTATTTCTATGGAAACGGCAACAGATACAAAGAGCACAATAACACTGTTTAATAGAGCTAATTCTCAACTACAAAAAAATATTTTTCAACATAGTCACCACCATTAGCTATGCATTTTCACCAGCCACGAACGAAAGCCTGGACACCGTTCTTGTCAAAATCTGCACCAGCAACAGAGGTGACCCAATGTCACTGTCACCACTCTTGAAACACACCACCCACCATCTCACTGTGCTCACATCCACTGTTTGGTCTCTATGAACATTCAGTAAGCACTGACAAATGTCAACGCTCCAATTTTTTCAATGACTGAGGTTTAAAACTGAGGTTTATTCCTTCTCCCTTTGTGGCCAATGACATTTTGCTATTGGTTAGAAGATGGTTTGGTCATTAGATGTAGGCTGGGTCTGTATTTGCTTGCTGAGGAGAATGGGAAGATTTAGGTTGATTTCTCCAGGATTTGGAACAGTCAGTCAAAGCAGAAGTTGATTTTCTGAGCAAATCCAAACAAACTGCATTTCCACTGGTATAAAGGGAAAGTTTATTGGCAGTGGTTACCTTTCATCTGAGGCAGGGGAGGCTGTCTGACATGCATTTGGCACAGAAATAATGCCCTGGAATAAGGTCATCTATAAACTCAGGGCAGTACTCTTACACACTTTGTCTATGGGAATATCCCTGAATCTTTTTCTGACTGCTTGAAATCAAATGGCATTTTATTTTGTTGTGGAAAGTACTTCAGTGCTTTTAGAGATCAATAAAAAAGGTGAATCAGTCAGCACTTCACTCACACATTTCCCCTCTGTCCCGTACATAAGCTGTCTTCCTAGGTGATATAGACCCATGCTCTCTGCCTGCAAGAAGTCACTTGTCTACTCTGTCCAATTTCTGAAAAGAAAAACCCCATTGGAAGTGAACTAAATGATGAGTGTCTATGAACTAGTGAACTAAAGTGAGGAGTGTCTATGGCCTGTTTGGCAAAGTGATTTTCTCGGCTCTGTGATATCACTCTTCTTAAGTACAGAAAGTCTGTTTACTTGCAGAAAGCTGCTGCATTTTAGGACAAGCCAACAACTGATGTGATTATTCATTTCCATTAAGCTGTTTCTTTCATTGTTGAAATAATAATAATAATAAGAAGAAGAAATTGACTTCAAACAACAAAGAAGCAAAGCAGCACACCAGGATTTTCATTCACGCAGTAAACGTAGATTTTAATCTGGGGAGTTCTTTTCGATGATTCTTCAATTATGTATTGAATTTTCCAGTGACCCCTAAATTAGGCTCAGATAAAATCTCTGCAGCTGTAAGCATGTTTTTTAGTTCTCTGTGATTTGTCAGCTTTTCATAAAGAGTAAATTCTTTCAGGTCAAAAATACAGGGTTTTTGCTTTCTCGGACTTTAAAACTCTAATGAAAGGGAGTCTTGTATAATGGAAAACCAAAGCTTTGTTGGATCAATGATGGCCTACAGCTTGATGTGTCCTTGGATGGTAGCTGTCAATATCTGGTTGGGCAAAAGAGGATTCTATAGAAATTCTGCGTCTCACCTCTGCCTGGAACTTTTGAAAGCACCTGTTATAAAGCAGCAGCTAAAGTTAAATTATAGTTCAGATTTAGGCCAAGGTGCATGGACTTTTTAATTATATGAGAAATCAACTTGCAGGCTAATGCTGTAATTCAACCACAATCATTCCAGGCATGTTTACAAACTTGCTTGTTTTTATTTTTTCTGTATTCCCTCTTTCTTCATAGACACTTGATAGATGCCAAACACATGCAATAGATACCTGTCTAAACCAATTTTTAATACGCTTGGCATGCCATCGTGATATTAATTGTATCTTAATTCTCTTTAAAATAAGAAGAAAAGTATTTCTAAAATTTAAGGGTATATCCAGCAGAACAAATGTATGCTTTTGTTTTTAATTGCAATTGCAGTTATTTCCTTTTTCTTATACCACAGCACAGATGACTAAATGGTTTAAAAGCCTAATTTTTCATAAAAATTGTGAGCAATTGGCTGTGGCAATACAGTAATACAGTATTTTCTTGTTGAGAACTCTTTGGTGGGTGATTTAGATGATTGGCCAGCACATCCAGACATTTCATTTGACCTTTTTAGACACCTTGTTGTGACAATTTGATTTTTATAAGTCCCTCTCAATCCTCCAGCTTTATAACTCAGAAGAAAAATGTGTGTGTTGGACAGTAAGTGCCTGGAAATCTGCTACCTTTTCTCATTCATCAAAATGTATTACAAAATTACTGTTGTGAAAAAAAGCAAAACTATGCAAAAAAGACATCTACCTGTTTTGTACATTTATGAGCAAGTCCATTCCAGCATATGTAGGAAAAGGAAATGTCTATATCCTTCTGCTTGCTCTAGTTAGTGTACCTTTTAAAGATGGTCTGGATGTGAACATTAGTGGTGTGGAAGGTTAAAATTAGTGCTACAAAGTACGTAATTTTAGTTTGAAACATTGGGAAGCAGGATAGGAAATTATCAAACTACAATCCCAAGTTTTTGAGTCTTGATAAAGTACTTTTATAAATCTTAAATACAGTGATAAATTTTCCCAGTGCTAGATCTGTCTCTAATTTCCCTTTAAAATTTCAGTCTTCCTACCATAGGGATTCTTGACAAATTGTGGACAAGATTCAGTCTTGTTTTTTTCACACTGCTCTCCAGCTAACTGATCTTCAGCTAACTAGCCTTATTTCATGCTGGATAATAATTATCTAACCTACTTTTTAATAATATGTTATGTTTCTAAATGATCCAATTCAGTACGATACTATATGAGTGTATATTATTCAACTGGAACTTTCCAAAGCTGAGAACAGCCCCTACAGCTTTGGAAAAGAAGCAGCCTCTGATATAAATACTCTATTTTCTTTGTTCACTAGATACAGGTGGAAATGTATTTTACATACATGGCAGCCAGTGTGCAACACTAGTATTTTCTAGAGCAATCACAAATAGAAAGTGCTGAACTCATCTTTTCTGCTTGAAAAATAGAATCACAAATTAATAATCTTTTATTTTAGGACATTTAAGCTGGGAACACTGGCAGATTGTGTTCATTTGTGTTTATTTCTGTGACACTTTGAATTATACTTAAATGTTCCTTAAAACAGGATAATTCCAGAATTTCTTTTATCTTCATTGTATCCTAATTTTGCATCTTATTATACTTATAGAGTATCTTATTATCTTATTATACTTATAGAGTATGTTGGAAAAAAAAAAACTATTACTCTGCAGAAATTCAAGCAAATAAAAACAGAAGTTTTCCAAAGTAGTGCCAATAGAATGTATCTTCTATAAAGGCAATGTCACTTTCTGCTTCTAGCACAAAAGGACATTTTACATCACACTAGGCATTATGAACCACATTACTTTAAAGAAGCATGATGTTCAAACAGTTTAGCTAAAACAGAACAACTGTATGTAGACATCAACTTACGTTTAATTCTGACTTCTTATACTGATTTATTTTGTCTTTTGTTTTCTATGCCAAATGTAAAATGATATAGGGTACCCACTCATATCATTTCTTTAACCAGGTAAATTTTTGCTCTCTTGGAATTAGGAATTCAGCTGCATTGCCAGACCAAATACTATGGTAAAATATTGAGCTTTGTGACAGCTGATGTTACCTAATATTGTATCAGCTTAAATTGCTTCAAACTACTCAGACTGAACTGAACACCAATGAATGATAATTGTTGCAGGACTAGGTGATATTTTAGGGCAGAAGAACATAAATCGTTAGCTAACACAGTTATTGCTGTCATTCTGTAAACAGAGAAGTTTGGTGTTAGTGCATTCACATCCACTTGCTTAGTGCACTAAGCAATCAATCTTGGAGAGACTTACTGAGTTGCCCAGAGTCCTATAGCAAATTGATAGCAATTGGACAGATACTGGGTTACACATAATGATACATGATATCCTCACTCAAAGACCACCCTTCATTCCTTACAGCATTAGCTGAACTAGGACTTTGTAAATAGCCATGATACTAAGAAAGCTGTAGCAGTGGATTAACTTCAAAATGTTAACAGATGCTAAGGGAATGAACTCACAAAAGCAAGAAAATCATAATCTATTATCATGAAGAAATTGAGTCCAGAGCATGCTTTTCCTAGAAGAGGTAGAGAACACACTGTTTTGGGGATTTCTCTGAGCCTCCAGAGAATTCTTCCCACTATAAATTCAATTCTTCCCTCCCACAATCACTCTGCATAAGTCATTAATCTTCTGCTCAGGAATCTGCTTTATGTGTAGGGAAAAGAAAGCTTAGCTTTGGACTACTTGCTCCATAAAACAAGCAGTCTTCTCATAGACTCACATTCCAGGTGTAAGTGGGGCCCCAAAACAGGGTAAAAAATTCAGTGTCTCTGCCAAGCTCACATAGGTTGTATCCCTGTGAGCTAGGCTGCCTTGAATATTACGTCCTTCCTCTTGGCATATGGGCACAAGCTCACAGTCAGGCAAATAGAGGAAAGCAGTACAGCTTCCAATCTAGACATGATGCACCAATCAGAATAGAGATCTAGTGGAGTGAACCTGAATCTG